AAAGAAGATAGAGGTGGTTTAGTGTTGGCCCAGACCGTCCTCAACTACTGAGATTCATAGTTTTCTCGGCTTGGTCGGTTATTACCGTTGCTTCGTAGAGGGTTTCTCGTCTATTGCAACCCCTTTGACCAAATTGACCCAGAAAGGTGCTCCTTTCAGGTGGTCGGATGAGTGTGAGGAGAGCTTTCAGAAGCTCAAGACTGCCTTGACCATAGCTCTAATTCTAGTTCTGCCTTCAGTTTATGGTTCTTATATAGTGTATTGTGATGCTTCTCGGATTAATATTGTATTTGTCTTGATGCATGAGGGTAGGGTGATTGCTTATGCTTCACGTAAGTTGAAGCCTCATGAGAAGAACTACTACGTTCATGATTTTTAGTTAGCATCCATCGTTCATGCATTGAAGATTTGCAGGCATTATCTCTATGGTGTGTCTTGTGAGGTATTTACGGATCATCAGAGTCTCCAACACTTGTTCAAATAGAAGGATTTAAATTTTAGGCAGCGGAGATGGTTAGAGCTGCTAAAGGACTATGATATTACCATTCTGTGTCATCCTAGGAAGGCCAATATGGTGGCCGATGCCTTGAGTAGAAAGGCGGTAAGTATGAGTAGCCTTGCATTTATTACTATTGGCGAGAGACCGCTTGTAGTTGATGTTCAGGCCTTGGCCAACCAGTTTGTGAGATTAGATGTTTCGGAGCCTATTCGGGTTCTAGCTTGTGTGGTTTCTCGGTCGACTTTATATGATCGCATCAGAGAGCGCCAATATGATGATCCCTATTTGCTTGTCCTTAAGGACACGGTTCAACATGGTGATTCCAAAGATGTTACTATTAGGGATTATGGGGTGTTGAGGGTGCATGGTCATATTTTGTGCCTAATGTAGATATTCTACGTGAGTTGATCCTTGAGGAGGCCCACAGTGCGCGGTATTCCATCCATCCGGGTACCGCAAAGAAATATCAGGACTTGAGGAAACATTATTGGTGGAAAAGGATAAAGAAGGATATAGTGAGGGTTATAGCTAGGTTCCTAAACTGTCAGCAAGTGAAGTATGAGCATCAGAGACCGGGCAGATTTCTTTAGAGGCTTGATATTCCGGAGTACAAATGTGAGCGTATCACCATGAATTTGGTAGTTGGGCTCCCACGAACTTCGAGGAAGTTTGATGCTATTTGGGTGATTATGGATCGGTTGATCAAGTCCGTGCATTTCACTCCAGCTAGGACTACATATTTTTCAGAGCAGTTGGCTGAGATTTACATCCGCGAGATTGTTCGCCTTCACGGTGTGCCAATGTCCATCATTTCAGATCGGGGTACGCAGTTTACATAGCAGTTTGGAAGAGCCTTACAGCGAGAGTTGGTCACACAAGTTGAGCTGAGTACAACATTTCACCCTCAGATGGACGGGCAGTCCGAGCACACTATTTAGATATTGGAGGATATGCTACGCGCTTGTGTCATAGATTTTAGGGGTTCTTGGGATCAGTTTCTGCCGCTCGTAGAGTTTGCCTACAATAACAGTTACCAATCGAGCATTCAGATGGTTCCGTATGAGGCTTTGTATGGGAGATGGTGTCGGTCTTTGGTGGGATGGTTTGAGCCGGTTGAGGCTAGACTATTAGGTACCGACTTAGTTCAGGATGCTTTGGACAATATTAAATTAATTCAGGATCTGCTTCGTACGGTGCAATCTAGATAGAAGAGTTACGCCGATCGAAAGGTTGGTGATGTTGCCTACATGATTGGGGAGAAGTTACTGCTCAAGGTTTCACCCGTGAAAGGTGTTATGAGGTATGGGAAGAAGGGCAAGTTGAGCCCTCAGTATATCGGGGTTTGAGGTGCTTCAAAGGATTATAGAGGTGGCTTACAAGCTTGTCATACTGCCTAGTCTATCGAGTGTTCATCCAGTGATTCATATTTCTATGAGATCGCGTGGATAGGTCCACGATCGTGAAGGCTTGTTTGGGTAGCTGGGATTTTTACTCTATGCGTTCGCGAGAAGAGGCCGTGAACGCGTAGGTTAGAGAAGCAGTGAGGCAGGAGTTGAGTTCACACGTTTGTTCTTCGCGATCGCGTAAGGAGGGACGCGGTCGCACAGGTATGAGGAGGTAGTACTTCACGTTCGCATGGGTATTGTTGCGTTCGTGTAAGGTTAATTTTCTGGGAATCTGAGTTTGTTCTTGGCGATCACGATTAAGGGACTTAATTATTCAAAAATGAGGGTTTGAGTTTATTTTACAAATTTAATTTTGGTAGCTCGGTTGGAGGCAATTTTTGGAGAGACTTTAAAGGGAGTGATTGGGATAAGTGATTCTTACTTAGTTTTGGTTACATTCCATGATTATATCTTTGATTTCATCATTTAATTAGTGATTTGGGTTTAAACGTTGGGGAAAATGGAAAAAACTTCTTAGGCCGAATTTTGGGGATTTGAGAATTTTGGTATGGTTGAATGAGTGTCCGAATTTTGTAACTTTAATCGAATTCCGAGATGTGGGCCTGGGGGTTGACTTTTGAGTTGACTCTTTGACTTTTGATATAGAACTTAACATTTTCATTTAGAATTGATTCCTATAGCTTTAGTTGATTGTATTGAATTGTTTGTGTCTAGATTCGAGGCATCCAGAGGCCGATTCACGAGGCAATGGCTTATTGGAATACAGATTTGTACGGTTTAAAGTAAGTAACACTTCTAAACTTGGTTCCGAGGGTATGAAACCCCGAATTTTGTATTATGTGATTGGTGTTGAGGTGACGCACATGCTAGGTGACGGGCGTGTGGGCGTGCACCGTAGGAATTGTGACTTTGTCAATTCCATAGGATTGTATAGTTGAATAATCTTATCGTTATCCGTATATTCTCCACGTGTTAGAGAAATTGAGCTACAAGTCATATTATAAATCATGCTTAGGCTACATGCTGGTACTATTGGGACCCACAGAGGTCGTGTTGCATGTTGAATTATTTTCTTAATTTGCAGTTATGTACTTAGTCACAACTATTATTTAAATATCATATCTCAGTCTCTGTTTTTATTTATTGATACATCATATCATCATTGTTTGGGTTGATTACCATGATTTTTATGAGCCCGAGAGACTGATGACTGAGTGAGGCCGAGGGCCTGATTGTGAGAATATTTATGGGATTGTGCTACAAGCCGCAATATGTTTTATTGATTCATGCTATGATTGGCTTATTATAGCGCTTGGGCTGGATCTTCCCCTCCGGAGTTTGCACACCCACAGTGACCGCAGGTTCCTTCTGAGTGCGAGCGTGTGTGCCGAGCGTTTGGGAGGAATGAGTGATGGTGAGGATGGAGTGACTGTGAGGAATGAGTGATGGTGAGGATGGAGTGACTATGGGGATGGAGTGAATAGGAGGACTGAGTGATTGATACTCTGAGAGTATGCATATGATTTCACCACTATTTTGTACTTCAGTTAGCATACATAACTGACATGTAGATAATGAGATGTACCATATCTTGCTTCAATTGCACTTGACATATCTTACCTATTTGAGCTTTAACTGTTAAATTTGGAACCTTGTCTACCTTTCTATACTGTATTTCTGTAATTGAACTGTACCTGTGAAGCCCGACACTGCTTTCAACCCAATAGTTCGACTTGTTACTTACTGATTTGGTTGTATTTACCCTACACCCTACACTTCGTGTGTAGATCGAGTTGTTTTCGGAAACAGTGGTTGTTGATTCCTAGCGTTTCAGTCATTCGGAGATTATCGAGGTAGTTTCCTGGCGTCCGTAGACCTTGACTCTCCTCCTATATCCCTCAATTTATTTATTCAGTATCTGCTTTCTTAGACAGAGTATCAGACTTTGCATTTGTATAGATGATCATGTAATTAACACCCTTGTTTTGGGAAACTTCTGTATCGAGTTGTGACGGTTTCTATCAGTTTTTATGAGAATTTTACTTATTTAAACCTATTTTAGTATATTTTAAATTTGAAAGTGTTGGAAATGTCTGAGTAGTCGGCTTGCCTAGTACCATGATAGGTGCCATCATGACAGGTTGAGTTTTGGGTCGTGACAGTCATAATCAAAACCATGTGGCATCCCTTCTTGAAGACATTAGAAAGATGTCAGAATACCTTGGTAAAATGAAAAATTCCATCAGCCACGTTTTTGCCATGCAAAACAAAGCTTCATGCACATGAGGCTATAAATAGCCAATGCCAACCTCTCCTTTTTATCATTAGCAAGACAAAAAAATACTTCTATCTTCTTTCCCTCTTATACATCCTTCTCCTTCTAATATCTTCTTCTATGTATTTTAATTGGCATAAAACATTAGTAGCTCTTTCTCTTACAACTAGCTGGGTTTGTAATTTAATATTTTGCTGATTCCTGTATCGTCTAAATAAAATAGAGGTAAAGCTTGTTTACTACTTGGAAAATATTTTACACTGCTGAAATAGTTTCTTAGGACAGTGCCGAGTGCGACTCAAGTTAATTTGTATATATGCGTACAAATAATATTATATCAGTGTTATTGTTATTTTTCTCATGTTATTTTCCTACAATCTAAGAAACTATGACAAACAACACTGATGCTCAAAAATACTACCGATACCACCAATATTGGCGCTACCTCCACTATTCCAGCCCCAGTTGCACTGTCATATGCTAGGTCATTTGCATATGTGTCAAATATTGAAATTTTCGCCAATGAAAATTTCAAGCGTTGGCAAGAACATATTTTCTCACTGTTTGATGTCCATGGTGTTGCATATGCACTGCTGCATCCACAACCTAGTGCAGATGCTAATAATAAAATAGTGGAATCATGCCAACACGCCAACAAGGTATGCGGTCATACTATATTGCAAACTATTTCTAATGAACCGCTTGACGTATATTGCATTTATAAGGAAGCAAAAGCTATATGGGAAGCCTTAACTAAAGAATCACCGCTGAACATGCTACAAAACAAAAAATTGTAGTAGGAAAGTTTTATCAGTGGCAGATGAGAGATGATAAAGAGATGAATGTGCAAATCAACGAATATAAAAAAGTGCTAGAAGACTTGAAGGCCGATGGGATGTCTTTACCAGAAAAGTTTGTTGCGGGAGTACTAATTGAAAAGCTGCTTGACTCATGGAGTGACTATAAGAACAAATTAAAGCATAAACAGAAAAATTTCACTATTGAGAAAATTATAACCCACATCCTAATTAATGATTCCAACAGAAAAGAATCTGCCAAAGCTCAGATGACAACTCTTAAAGCAAACCTAGTTCAAAGTAGTAGAAACAACCGCAAAAAGTATGAGAATAAGTCTCAAGGTTACAAGCCCAAAAATCCTAACCTTAAGAGAAAAAAAGGCTCTTGTTTTGTTTGTGCAAAACCATGCCATCATACCTCACATTGCAGGTATAAAGGAGATAAAGGAAAAACTAATACTCTTAAGAATAACTTAGCTGAAGGAGGTGATATTATTGCGACATTCATTTCTCAAGTAAATATTGTAGCAAATGCAAAAGAATGGGTGGTAGACTCTGGGGCTACTCGGCACTTTTGGGCATATCGAGAAGCATTTTCTTCTTATACTCCAATAGAGGATGATAAAGAAGAGGTCTACCTTGGAGACTCAAGTACTACCAAAGTCTTGGGTAAAGGTAAAGTTCTCCTGAAACTCACTTCGAGAAACACTTTAGCCCTTGTTGATGTACTACATGTTCATACTATGAGGGCAAACTTGATCTATATATCCTTGTTTGGAAGTGTCATTTGAATCTGATAAGATCATAATGACCAAAAACAATGTGTTTATGGGAAAGGGATATTGTAAGCAAGGACTCTTTGTACTTAATGTTTCTGATGTTATGAACGGAAATGCATATGCTTATGCTTATATGGTTGAGTCTATTTCTTTATGGCATGCTAGACTAGGACATGTTAATCTGGCGTATATAAATAAAATACAGTCATTAGGTTTAATATCTGTTTTTAGACTCAAATAATATTGACAAGTGTGAAATATGTACTAAAGCTAAAAGTACTAAAAGAACTTGTTTTCCTATAAATAGAGAAACTAAACTATTATCCTTTATTCATATTTATTTAGGCGATTTAAAGCAGACTATGACTAGAGGTGGTAAAAGATATTATGTAATTTTGATTGATTATTTTTCTGGATTTACTAAGTTGTATTTTCTTAGAAATAAAGATGATGCCTTTAATGCTTTTATTTCTTATAAAACTGAGGTTGAAAATCAACTTAGTAGAAAAATCAAATGAATAAGATTTGATAGAGGTGAAGAATATTTATCTTTGAATGAATTTTGAGAAAAAGAAGGAATAATTTGATGTAACTCCGCCTTATTCATATTAATCAAATGGAGTAGCTGAAAGAAAAAATAGAACATTGAAAGAGATGATGAGCTCTATGTTAGTTAGTTCTAATGCACTTGACAATTTGTGGCGTGAAACTATATTATTTGTATGTCACTTACAAAATAGAATACCATATAGAAGAACAGGCAAAACTCCGTATGAATTGTGGAAGGATTATAAACCTAACTTGAAATATTTAAAAATGTAAGGGTGCCTTGCTAAAGTTCTTTTACCTGAACCTCAAAAGAGAAAAATAAGTTTTAAAACTGTTGATTGTATACTTATTGGATATGCTGAACATAGTGTTGCATATAGATTTCTTGTTTTAAAAAGTGATTTGCTTGATTGTAATACTATAATAAAGACAAAGAATGGTGAGTACTTTGAATATATTTATTCATTGTCATATAAAATGTCTCATACACTTGTTGAAACAAATAACGAAATTACCTCTAATGAGGAACTGAGAAGGAGCAAAAGGCCTAGGAAAGAATATTTTTCTTATGGAAATGATTTTCAAATTTTTCTTGTCAATATTGAACCATCAAATTATTCTGAAGCTATATATTCTTCAGAAGCAAATTATTGGAAAGAGTCAATAAAAGTTGAAATCTATTTTGAAAAATAAAACATGAATTTTGACTAATTTACCTCCTGGTGCAAAACCTACTGGTTATAAATGAATTTTTAAAAGAAAATTTAATCTTGATAGATATTTAGATACATATAAAGCTCGGTTAGTAGCAAAAGGGTTTTCTCAAAAATGAAATATTGATTATTTTGATACTTTTGCACTAGTGACGAGAATTTCTTCTATTCGAGTTTTAATTACCTTAGTTTCAATCCATAAGCTTTTTATCGATTAAATGGAAGTCAAGACGTCTTTTTTAAATGGTGATTTAGAAGAAGAGATTTATATGGTTCAACCTAAAGGCTGTGTCATTCATGGACAAGAAAATAACGTTTGTAAATTAATTAAATCTCTTTAGAACCTTAAACAAGCTCCTAAGTAGTGGTATGAGAAATTTGAACAAGTCTTATTGAGAGATGGGTTTTCTTAAGTTGGGGTGGATAAATGTGTTGAATCTAAAGTGGTTGTAGCACCCCAAAAAATTTTGAATTACTTAAATGCTATTAAGAAAGTTGATGTGTGCTAATTATATTATTTTGTGTGCAGATGAGGACAATTAATATGATGGATATTAATTGGATATGATAATGAGTGTACGAGGTGTATTTGAAGTGATATAGGGCATACGGATTTCCTTTGGGAAAAATCAAGTTGGAAATTACATGATAGACTAAAGTTCCAAATGAGTACGCACTAAGACCTAACTTTGGGCGAGCATATATATATATATATATATATATATATAAGGAGTTATATGATACAAAAAATATCAAATGAAATATCTTTGAATCTAGTTTCTAGCTCTTCAAACCGTTTGTCATTTGGTTATTCCTACAAGAAGTTATGACCAAATTACCAAAGATTGGCAGAAGAGTGAATTGGGGATGAGAAAGCATCCGGGGCCGCATCCAAAAGAAAGTCTGGCAGTGAAGTACTGCCATAGCATTCGGGTTCGCGATCCCTCCAACCTCCTAGCAATCCCTCCATTGGGGTCCGCGATCCCTCCATTGGGGTCCCGAGTCAGCATACCCTCCAACCTCCTAGCAATCCCTACTACCTGCTGGTATGCGATGTCCATCTCCAACTCTTGTGCCATGCTAAATCTGATATTGGGGTTGAGCCCCTCAATAAATCTACGAAGCCTCTCTCTAACAGTAGAAACCATGGCTGGTGCATGCCTAGCCAAATCACTTAATCGGACTGCATACTATGACACGGTCATAGAACCCAGACGCAACTGCTCAAACTCTGTGCGCCATGCATCTCTGAGACTTTGGGGAACATACACCCTCAAGAACATATCTGAGAACTCAGTTCAAGTGAGTGAAGTTGCCTCATCCGAACTACCCAACTAGTTTGCGCACCGTCACTGATAGGCCGCTCCTCTAAGATGGAACATAGTGAAAGAAACCCTACTAGACTCTGCAACTCCCATAGTACGGAGGATACGGCCGCACTCCTCAAGAAAACACTGGGCATCCTCTAACGCCAAGCCACTGAAGTTAGGAGGGTGGTACTTCTTGTACCTCTATCCTGAGTTGCTCCGCCTTAAAAACTACTGCCCTAACCCTGGGCTGAATTGGAGCTACCGGATGTATCAGTACGACCTCTGAAACCTGGTTGACCTAGAACCGCTGCTCTAGGGTACCAGCGATGGGAGTTTGTGCTTCTCCCCCAGCCTGAGATGTGGCAGGAGTAAGGGGTATCAATCCTGCTTGTGCCAAGGTACTGAACATGCTCAGAAACTGGGCTAGAGTCTCCTGGAGGACTGGTGCAGTAACAGGTGCCTCAGGTGCCTTCCCTCCAACTGGAGCTACTGGTGGCTCCTCGGCCTCTACCCTGACCCTGACCTCTCCCGGCTCTAGTAGGGGGTACGGTTGTTCGGTCATGTGATCCATATGTACGTGTCCTAATCATCTATGATAGAATAGAAAGATAGAAATTTAGAATCCCAAAGTTAATAAGTTCGCACGACAAGGAATCAAAGAAGTGAAATTTTTCCTAACAGTTCCATAGCCTCTCGAAAATAAGTACAAACGTCTTCATACCGATCCGCGACACTCTACTTAACCTGCTTGTGACTAATAACACCTATGAACCTAGAGCTTTGATACCAACTTGTCACGATCCCAGTTTTTGTAACGACCAGGTCGGTCGTTTTGGGGAAATTATCCCCGAACCCGTATTATTGTTCCCTCTAATTCATTTTTGAGTTTTGTGATTTGCCGGGAGCATTTCTTTTGGTTTTGGAGTGAAATGGGACACATAGTCTCTAAAATGGAAGTTTGAGTCATAGGAATTGACCGTAGATCAAACTATGTGAAGACAACTCCGGAATGAAGTTTTGACGGTTCTTATAGCTCTGTAGGGTGATTTTGGTCTTAGGAGCGTGTTCAGATGTTGAATTGGAGGCCAATAGGTCATTTTAGCGCTAATTGGCGAAAGTTGAAAAAATGATGATTTTTGAGAAGTTTAATAGGGGTGGACCTTTTGATATCGAGGTCGGATTTAGATTCTAAAAGTTAGAGTAGGTCCGTAATGTCAATTATGACTTGTGTGCAAAATTTGAGGTCAATCGGACTTGATTTGATACGTTTCGGCATTAGATGTAGAAGTTTGAAACTTTGAAGTTCATTAGGCTTGAATGAATGTGTAATTCGTGTTTTTAGCATTGTTTGATGTGATTCAAAGTCTCGATTGAGTTCGTATGATATTTTAGTATTGGTTGGTATATTTGGTTGACGTCCCGGGGGCCTCGGGTTGATTTCAGATGGTTAACGAATCATTTAGAGTTGCGTTTGGTTGGCTGAAGTTTGCTGCACCTGGTGTAATCGCACCTACGCACTTTGAGTCGTAGGTGAGACCCCGCAGAAGCATCCATAGAGCCGCACAAGTGACTATTGGCCTTTCCAGCTGGGACCGTAGATGCGGTCAGATTCTCGCAGAAGCGGTCGAAGGAGCAGAGGATGGAGCGTAGAAGTGGGAGCGCAAGTGTGACCCTTGTTCGTAGAAGAAACCTTTGAGGGATTAAGTGAAGTCTGCACCTACGATGGTTTTTCCGCATTTGCGGAACCGCAGATGCGGTGGATCCCTCACAGAAGCGAGAAAGCTGGTCTGAACACTTAAATGTAAGGGTTCACGATTTTTGCTAATTTTAGACATTTTGAGCTCGGTTTTGGCGATTCTTGAGAGCATATTTCGAAGGATTTCTTGAGGTAAGTCTCTTGTGCTTATTTTTGATCAATAATCTTGTTTCACCATTGATTTTCCCACCTAGATTTTGTGTGTTTTAAGGTGAAATGTGGGAATAGGCTAGGGATTTGGAGAGTGTAATTTCGGGATTTGAGTGGCGACTTGGTGTCGGATTTTGGTAATTTTAGTATGGGTGAACTCGTGGTTGAATGTGTGTTCGTATTTTGTCACTTTTACCCGATTTCGAGACGTGGTCCCAGATCGACCTGTTGGGGTGATTTTTCGATTCCTTGCTAAACTCGTAGATTTATTATTTAAATTAGTTTCTTGTAATTTTATTCATGTTATGAAATTGCTTTTGGCTAGATTTGGGACATTCAGAGTCGGAAAATCGAGGCAAATGCATTCTTACCGATTGATTGAGTGACATTTGAGGTAAACGATTTGTCTAAACTTGTGTGGAGGAAATTCCCTTAGGATTTGGTACTGTTGTAACAATTTGTAATATGTGAGCGCCGTGTATGCGAGGTGACGAGTGCGTACACGGGTTAATTATGGTAAATTCGGTTCTTGCT